GGGGGAAGAAAGAAACTCCCCTGAGCCCCGGGGGATGGACGCACCGCGCACACTTCGCCAAGGCCGTACGCGCAAATGAGTCTCCAGGCCATGTGGATGGACTCGATGTCAAAGGCCGGGGAGGTGGCCGATCCGCCGATCATCTCGACACCAAACTGTCGGAACTGCGCGGCGGCGAGGAAGGGGGATGGTTAGCTGTTGGGGCTTGCGCGAGGATCGACAGATCGGCCATGCGCAGGGTACCTCGCGGAAGCGGCCAAATTGCGGGCGTTCATAGCGGAACATTGGCCCATTGTAGTACAGGCGAGACAGAGTCAGCGGGCCGGGGAGGCTGCTCGCCGGGTCGAGAAAGGCCCTCATGACGCCTGTAGCAAGCGGAAAAAAAAGGGCGAACGGTCAGTGGCATGCATCAAACCGGGGCCACTCCGGCTGAGGGAGGGGGGAGGGTCTCCATAACATACCGGCAGTGCCCTCGGGCCGAAGGACAATCGCATCCTCAATGGCCGGCGTCTCTGGCCGGTCGGGCACGGAGGCGTTCAGGGCCGAGGCTGATTGGACCAAGAAAAGTTCCTTCGACACGATGTCCGAGTCCTGACCGAGAGATCGGTGATGCAAGGCAGCAGACTGCAGGATGGGCACAGTGATCTGTCATTGCATGTATGTGTGTGAGCGCACGCGGAGGAGGAAGGGGGGGGGAGGAACAGGTAAGCCTGAAGAGGAGGGCTCAAGGGATCGAGAGATCGAGGCGAAGGGAGGGGAGGGAAAAAAAAACCCCCACGCGCACCTCTTGGTATCCGTGTTCTTCGGCAATGCGGGCGGCCTGGCCGGCCAGCCACCGAAGCTGGGCCGTGGCAGCCGGAGAGAAGTCGCGCGTTCCGCGTGCCAGGTCGAAGGTGGGGAGCCGCCGAGGCCCGGCGTCAGTCGAAAAGGCTCGCCCAGAAGCCCCCATAGCCGGCATCGAGGAACGCGTGACGGCCGGCCAAGATGGACTCCGATGGAGCGCAGCACACAGGGCAGCTGATGCCGAGCGGCTGAGAGGGCGGCTCGCTGGCCCCAGGGGCGAGGCCAATGTCACAAAAGACCTCCACATCGAGCGACAGCGGGGCAGGGGCACTGCTGGAAAAAAGGGTGGGAGGGGGGGGGGAAGGGAAGCGGGGGGAGGCTATGGGTGTTCCTGGTCGGCAAGCGTTCCATCCAAATGGGGGCTGCCTTAGATAGATTGCATCCCTCTTGCTCGCTCTCTCGGCCCCCGGCTGGGGGGGTGAGGGGGGAGCTCCACGTTTCTCCTGCTGTTGCCGGGATCCGGCCCGGGCGCAGGCCCCCCCCCCCCGCACCCCCGCAGATTAAAACGCCAGGGCGCACGCGCGAGTGCGGCATGCCCGGCTGCAGCCCACGCTCGCGCTCCACAGACAAAGCGGGCAAAGACAAGCCCCCGGGTGCAGTGCGGTGGGAAGTGATCGACCCAAATGGCACATGGCCACTTTCCGGCACCCGGCCGGGATTTTCTCCTGCTCACTTTCCCGGCGGGGCCCGCCGCTTGGTTTTGGGTGTCCTTTTCTCCTCGCTCCCTTTCTCGCTGCTCCCCCCTTCGCCCGGCGAGGTCCTCCTGCCTGCGCACAGACACACATGCACACTCTTCACCCGAGCAAAAGCTCGTCCAAAGGGATATCATTGTTTCCATTAGGCCCATGGGGCAATTTCGCAGAGGGTGCACGGCCGCACACCGGGAGCCAGACAGCCGGGGACCGAGCGCGCTGATGTGTTTTTTTGTCTTTTTGTCTTTTTTCCCTTCCCGGCGGGCGTGCGCCCATGTAGAGGCATCGACGAGGCGGAGCCCGTCAGCCGCCAACGGCCGCCTTCTTGACGATCATGACAACGTCCTCGTCCTCGACAACATGGTTGAGACCGACAATCTGTGGGGTATGCTTGGCGGAGGTGCCCTGGATGGCGGGAAAAAAACCCAAGGAGGCAAGGAGGGGAGGCTTAGAATAGGAGCAAGAGAGAGAGAGGGGGGGGGGGGGGGAGAAAATGGAGGCCAGGACATGTGGCACATGCAACGCACCCAAATCATGGCATAGTTGAACTGCTCGGCCAGCGACCGGTGAATGCGGTGGCAAACGTGCTCGATGGTGGCACCGCGACGAACGATGACCGCTTCCGACAGGTCAGGGGCCTCGGAGCGGCGCTTGGTGTAGATGCGCGACAGATCGAGGGTCTTCCAAATGCGCTCGACAAGGTAGTCCATGTTGAAGCCCTGGTCGCAGCTGTACACAGGAGAACGAGAGAGCGAGGTCAGCATGGTGCACATCGGGGGGGCATGCTCGGGCGTGGGGCGAACCTGACAACGACGGAGTTCGGCTGGCGCGCCAGACGGTCAACCTCCTCGATGCTGATCTGGTCGATCTTGTTGAAGCAATACAGGCACTTGAGGTACTTGCGCTGGCCGACAATCGCATCGATGAACTCATCTGGGTAGGCATCGTGGCACATGGCAGGAGAGAGAGAGAGAGGGCGGGATTTGGAGGGCGGTTAGCATGCGGAGATGCCGAGGTGGGGACGACCGTGGCTGGCCTCCTTTGCTTTTGTTTTGACGCACCAGGGGTGACATCCTCACGCACGATGATCTCGGCGTTGAAGATTTCTGCACGGGGGACGAGAGAGAGAGAGGCAAGCGGTCAGAGCGAGTTCCCCTCCGGCCGGGGTGGGGGTGGGGGGTGGGGGCCGGAGGACGGCAAAGAAAAAGCACGTACTGTACTCATGAAGGATGAGCTGGGCCATGCGCGCATTCAGGTGCGTGAGCCGGAGAGTGGCGGTGAAGGAAATACCACCACCCTGCTTGGGCTGATGTGTGACGCCGGAGAGAGGGGAGAGGGGAAGAGAGAGTCAGCAGGGGGAGGAAGCCAACATAGTGTCGCCCCGGTCAGCGGGTGAGGGAGACTTGAAACGCCCTGCCGGGTCGTACCTTGAAGTAAACGTTGGGGGGCTGGCGATTCAGGCGGATGCCGACGGCCTCCAGCTCGGCCTCAAGCTTGGCACTGCGCGCAAGAGATGTGTGTGTGTGTGTGTGTGTCAGGGTACCGCAAGAGGCAGGGGGGGGGGGGGCAAGGCGTCACAGTAAGCATCATCGGGAGAAGGCCGGAGGAGATACAGAAGGAGGGGGAGGGGGGGGGGATTGATCGCACCGCTGAACGTCGGCCTTGGTGGCATCCAGCACCATCAGCACCATGTCCGCTGTCCGGGCAACGGCGATCACCTGGCGACCACGACCGCGGCCTGTGAAGGGACGTGGGGAGTAGGGTAAGTATGCCGGGTCATTCACACAAGGCATGGGATGTATGGATGGCGCGCGCGTGCGTACCTTGGGCGGCGCCCTCGATGATACCAGGAAGATCGAGCAGCTGGATGTCCGCACCGTCGTACTGCCATTTTTTCGGGTGATGGACATGCGGTTAGGGAGAAGCACACGGCAAGCTGGGAAGGGAGGGGCGAAGGAAGAGGAGGAGGAAAGAGACATAGACCCCCCCCCCCCTCCCCGCTCCCGACTCGGAGAGGGTCCTACGCACCTTGATCTTACCCGGGATACAGGTGAGGGTGGTGAACTCGTACGCCGCGGCGGCCGACTGGGTGGGAGTCACCTTGCCCAGCAGAGTGGACTTACCGACCGATGGGAAGCCGATCATGGCCACACGCGCATCACCGGACTTCATCACGTCGAAGCCCTCGCCCTTGCCAGAGGACTTGGGCGGCTCGAGGAGCTGCAGGCGCAGGCGCGCCAGGCGGGCCTTCAGCAGACCAATGTGGCCCTCGGTAGCTACGCGCACAAGAGGTGGTCAGTAGAGGCAGGCGGGCGGGCGGGCGGGCGGGCGGACCGGCAGACGGGGGACTCATGAGCTTGGGGGAGGTTGAGGGGCGAGCGCGATTGTGCGCACCCTTGTTCTTCTGAGTCCGGGCCATCTCGGCCTCGATCTCAGCGATACGCTCGGCAATACCCATGTTTGCAATGTGCGAGAGGCGGATACGACAGGAGGGAGGGGCGGATCCGGGGAAGGGGAAAGAGGATGGGGAGAGAGGCGCGAAAGGAAGGCGCGAGGAGGAGGGAAGGGGGGAGGAGAGGTCTCTGTGATTCCCCTGTACCAGGGGGATCTGATCAGGGGTTCCTTTGTCCCCCCCCC